CCCAGGCCGGGAGTCCCACACGAAACCGTCCCTGCTGCCCCCGCAGCACGGACGGCGAAGTGCATTAACGCATTCCCCGCGTTAACAAAAAAAAATCTTCGCAACACACGCGCGAGGCTTGCCCAACATGGGCAGAGCAGCGCGCTGCCGTGTCCTCGGTCCTTGGGACGGACCTCTACCTGCCTGTCATGGCAGCTGCTATGGCAGGCAGGGAGGAGGTTTGGAAGGCGGTCTCCACTTTCAGCGTCGAGGTGATGACGCTGAAAGAAGCGGCGGAGCGGGCGCGGGAAGACGCCGTCGACTCGCTCCCGATCCGCCGCATCATCATCATCATCGGAGTTCGCCGCCTGCACCGCAAGGGTATCGTGCCGCAGGACTCCCCACGTGTTCCGGGGAGTCCTCGGTGAAGGACGACGGCGCCTTCTTTTGAAGGCGTCGTCGCCGAAGGAGGGCCCGCCGCATATAATGTGGCGGGCAATCCGCAGACGGGGCTGTGGTGGTGTGCTATTGCGTTACCACAGCCCCGTCCCATGCGGGAAGGAGGAAGGAACACCGTCGGGTTTTGGTGAGTATACCCGGCGCCCCTATTGGCGCCGGGGGAGCCTCACATAACCGCCCGCCCCCCCGAAGGGCGGGCGGTATGATTAACACATTTCCCGACGTAAAAAAAAAAAAAAAGTTGTTGACCTCCGATTGGCAAATTCGAATTGCAACGCACAGCTGAGCGGGGGTCACTGACCGGTTTTGCATACGCGCTAAACGACAGCGGAGTTCTGCAGCGCCCGCGATATACCACGCCTTCGATTACGCAACTTGTTATTTTTGTTGTCCGAATGTGTACATTTCTCTTCTTAGTGTTGTACTCTCCTTCTAATTATTATATAATATTTGTTGTGGACTGTGAGTGATAATAAACTGTGTTGTGAATATAACTGTGCCTCATTTCACCTGTCGCCGCACTCACCCTTCACATCATCATTCACACACCCCCACACGGAGGTGACATCACACCGTCGCCTTCCCCCTCACAGGAATATGTTGACATTTGTAGCCACAGACAGTGTCTAGTCATATGGTGTAGTTATCGACCTGGCTATACACCAGTACCGATTTTCGTTGAATTTCGGGACACGCTGTATGACTAGCTAGATGCCTTGTAACAAACAAACATCCACCCCTACCTCCAAACATTTCAATCTATAATATTAATAAGAAGTAAGATAACTGTTGTTGTTATTGTCACTCATCGTCATCGTTATCGTCATCGTCATCGTCATCGTCATCGTCATCGTCATCGTCATCGTCATCGTCATCGTCATCGTCATCGTCATCGTCATCGTCATCATCGTCATCGTCATCGTCATCATCGTCATCGTCATCGTCATCGTCATCGTCATCGTCAAAGAAATGAAACAAGTAAAATAGTATCTATCTCATATTTATTTAAATATATAGCATTTGTTGCTAGTTTCTATCCTTTACAATGTGGTGGAGATTGTCATGAAATATTTACAAGATTTTCACAAAAATATAGTTTTGAGCAATACTGAGATCTTAAATAATACTTTATTACAAGACAATTATCTCTTTTTAGCGGAATCGTGGCAACTGTCATAAAATAAATGTTACAGTGATTGATTCAAATATAATATTTGTATAGAAATACAAAGAACATTACGAGCACTTTCCTTCAAAAGGTTTTAAGTCTCACTAAAGTTTCTATTAATATCAGGGATTTCGAACTTTTCTGTTTCAACCATTTTATTTGGGAATGTTAAAAAAAAAAATTTTTTTTTGAAGACACGCCGAACAAATCATCTAGCCGGGATGATCCCGCTTGCGGGGAATCCCTTGGTGAGTCGGACAGCCGGCCCATAGGCGTATATACCTAGCGTATATTGGGGGCGATTCGATTTGTAGAGGAATATTGTAGAAAGAGGGACAAGAAGAGAGACTGGGGGGAGTGGAGAGTGATTAGACAACGTCGATGTCCAACTGCAGCCTCATGACTGTCGAGATCGGACCGAAAATACAGAATCGGGGTTCCCCATCTTCCCACCTGGGCGCGACGGTGAAGGCCGCCGCCCACACATTGACAACATGAGATGCGCTCCGAGGAGAATAGATGTGGTAGAGTGTTGGTTTAGGTGGGCGGCACGATGAATACCCACCTGGCCAGTCTTGAGGATAGACGACACGACACTACCACATAATATTTAACTATGTCAGATACCTGGACCTACATCTACACACGACTAACGTGAAACAAACACATTAAAACAATAAAGATTCAGAATAAAAATCTTTATTCTGTCAACTGATAACAAATTACTGTTATTATAATATATACGACAGTTCAACAATCTGTATGGTTATGTGGTTTACAACTCTGTAGGAGGGCACTTCTACAGAGTTGTTATTCGAGTATTGTATATTCCAGTTTCTGGCAAGAATCTCAAATATAAATATGCAAATATGCTGCAGAGAATGTAAAATCCATCTTACGTACCAGCTACACTAATAAAATAAAGAAATACATTCAAACCTAAAAAAAAAAAAAAAGCATGTTAATCGGTTTCGTTTGTAATGTCCAGGCTTTTGATATATTATGCATGTAAATAATAATAATGTGGACATCTAATGTATAAAATGTTGAATGCACGAAAAAAAAAAAAAATGTATGACACGCCAGCCAAGTGAATATTCCAGTTTCATGAGTGCAACGAGCGCGGTGGTGTCGTGCAGCACCTGAGCGCCTCGCACCTGAGCACGGCGCTGGCCAGCAGTGCATACAGCAGGACAGAAACGCGGGGAACTTGCGCGACGGCTGCGTCACGGCTTAACGTCGCCGCCATCTTGTCACCTAAAACATTTGTATTATAACATGTTAAATGACCGCCTTTACCCATTGGTCATAACAATAAGGTATAATAAAATGAATATAGGCGGTAGTGCCGCGAGACGGAGACATACTGCCTTCGGAGACGTAGACGTAGATGTGGGCGGGGTCGGCGCCGGGCGCGCGGCAGGAGTAGTTGCCGGCGTGCGCGGGTCGCGCGGCGCTCACTCGCAGCGCGGACTGCGTGCGCGCTCCCGGTGCCGTGCTCACGGTCACGCCCTGCGCCTCGTCGTAGTTGATCATGCGCGCGTTGTGATACCAGAAGACGTACTGCGGCGGCGCCGGACTCTGCAACACGACGCCACTACATTCGATATAACTTCATATTGTGACCGTACGAAGTAAGATTAACATTATACTACAAGAAAAACAGAAAAATATGAGTGAATAAGAAAGTTTTACAAAGTAAAATAAAATAAATTACACATATAGGTAGCGATATTTCCTTAACTCTTCCTCTATACAAAAATCACGTGTATTTTTTAAGTAATATTGAAATTTTCATAATATCTATTAATGATTTATGAATTATTTCGTCATCAGTCAGATAACACAAGGGAAATCCTATTTTAGAACCCGCTCTTTTCTTGTTAATGTCCGTGATGATTTTCGGAACCCCTCCTTCCCACAACCCCCTTCCTCCCCCCCGCGCCTTTACTGACCCTCGCGTGACAACGAATGATCCCTAACTCAGTTTTTCATTTTGAATATTTTTAGTATAAAGTAACTAACGAGCAAGCGGCACCCAAGATTCAACAAATTGCATATTTTCACCTCCTATGGGTCCCCTCCTGTGCTAAAGCCATATCCCCTTCCCATCCACATCCGTTAGTTCAAGAAATATTACCACTGTGATTCAGTCTCGGCGTGTCAAACTAGACAACTGGGATGTTGTTAGTTTATAGTTTATCGTTTTAGCAAAAAAGATAAAATTTGTAAAGTCCAGTCCAGTCTTGATATAAGTAGGAAACGTCTTATTGTTTATACATGTAAAATGATATAGTGTATACTTACGTTTTCTATAATGCAGACGAGGTTGATTGATGAGCCGGCGTCCACGTGGTACTCCTCGGCCCCCAGAATGAATGCCTCGGGCACGAGCACGCGCAAGTCCACCCGCCGCGACAGCGTGCCCCCGCCACCGCTCGCCACCTACTTGACAGAGACACTTATTCAACTGCTCACCTCAGTGATGCTGTGCCCCCGCCGCTAAATCACCAATTAAACAACTAACTGAAGGACGGGGCCCCCGGGGTGCCCCCGCCACCGCTCTCGCACAGCCGTAGCAGCAAGCCAGGAGTCTTGATCATTGCAAGCTACAAATCTCAACAAAATAAGTTTTACTTTTATTACTTGTTGCTTGCTACCTGACATTCGTAAGTGCCGTTGTCGCGTTTCTGAACATATTTGATTTGCAAAATCCAATCGTCGGACCCCTCGCCGTGCAGCACCTGCGGCAATACATACTAATATATTATTAAAATACTTAATACAAACACACACGCTCAACTTCAATCATATTATGTCTCCCGTGCTAATAACTATGCTCGCTCGCTGGTCGCATCCCTTGGTATAGTACCATTCACATATTATTTATAACTAACGTGACCGGGCGTCCCGTTTTGAACGGGACTGTTCCTTTTTATATTTGAGGCGGTCGACGCAAGCTGTGTCCCCCAAATATGATTTTAAAAGGAGATGTTGGTAATTAAGGCGAATAATAAAAAAAAGTGCCAAGAGCTATACTTGCTTAAAATTACCATCAGCTATTATTCATAGGTACTTAGCTTAAAGCAAAGTTGTTCCTCTGATAAATATAACTAAATGGTTCGAGTATAAGTGTTCCTTCATTTGTTACTTAACTTACTGATTTTATTTGAAGAAAGAAGTTAAAAAAAGTTTTATTTTTCTTTGGCTACCTGTTAATTACCTGAAAAAATCAATGACCCATTTTGAGTTAAAAAATAAATGATCAAGTTATGTATAACTAGCTATCGCCCGAGACTCCGTCCGCGCGGAATAAAAAACCCTTAATTAGTTGCCTATGTGTTCTTCCAGACAATGTTCTACAAATATGCCAAATTTCATCGAGATCCATTCAGCCGTTCTGGAGGTCCCTTCAAACATTCATCCATCCGTATAAACATTCGCATTCATAATATTAAAATAAAGATTGGGTAGAAGTAAGATTTGCTTTCATTTAAAATCAAATCTAACGTGTCACCGGCGCGGCGCGGCGCGGCGCGGCGCGGCGTCACCTATATCACGTCCACGACTACGATATAACGTCGTAAAGCAATTATCACAGCATTTAACTTCATACATTTGTCTTATTGAATGGCATAACTACAGAAACATGACATTTGAAAAATATATAATGTCAAGTCGACTCAAGGCCACGGAGATAAAGCATGAATTCTTAACAATGGTCAAGGAAATTAAGTCGTTCTTGGAATACGTGCCATCTCTTCTCAAAAAAGGCATAACTAACATTGTTATCGTTTCAGTGTGTAAGAGACAGATGTGTAAGAGACTTCCGAGTATTCGCGCAGCCAAATAGCGGTTTGCAATTAAAAAAAAAAACGGCAGTCTGTCAAGGGAAAAGCCAAATGATATACATTCTTTAACTAAGTTATTGCTGCTCGTATGTAGTTTGATGATAGAATTAGCGGACCTGGAAGCGCTCGTCGTTGGTGTAGAGGAGAAGGCCGGAGCTGAGGATGTGCCAGTCGCGGCGCCGCACCCACGATACCTGTGTCCGCCCGCGCACGTCCGCATGACAACAAACGACAAAATCTCAACCAATATCACACCTACGTTACTCTACGTCTACGTTATACAAAAAAACAAATAGAGGCAGACTACAGCGTAACGAAGTGGGTGATCGCTGAAGGCCTCGCCTCGCGCCTTCAACTTATACACATATTTATAATATTATAGTAAGATAACCATCAATATCACACTACAAAATCAAAATATAATCTCAACTGACTTGTATTTAATATAATTGTTAAAATAGATTTAGATTCACTTAGGATAATGTTAAGAATCAAAATCTTCAAAACCGATAATGATAATCAGTATGTTTTTTAACGCACGCCACGTTCGCCGAGATTCCGCACGGGGCAGTGCATGAAGGCGATGCCGCCGACCGGCACGAGCACCTCATCCCGAGTGGCGTTGATGGAAGGCTCGCGACGAAGCGCCGCCAGCGAAGCCTGCCATAGCTCGCGCCATGCTGGCACATCCGCTGCCGCCAGCTCGGCTGCGTCCAGCTCAGCGGCGTCCAGCTCGACGGCGCCATCTTCCCCAAGTCGGGCATCATGCCCGGGCACACTGACGGCCAAAAGCGTGGTGAATGTAGCCAGCAGTGTCGCGGCCCGCGCGCCGCACATCTTCGCCTACCGCCGAATGCGCTCCCTGCGATTTTATTACCCGTCATTAGATTTAAGAATTTGTTTATAACCTTTCTGCTTAAAACATATCCAAATGTTGCTTAATTTTGGAAATAATCTTAAGACGCTTTTACCGAGGTTGACAATTCGGACTCCACCGATGACGGACCATTGCTGCGGAGATAGTCCCGACCATCGTGTAGTGAAAATACTGAAGGTTTTTACTCAAGCACAAGAACATACCAAAATAAACAATTCTATTTGTATACAAAGACAATAATCACGAAGTTTTCGATTCCATATTTTATGAGAACAAAAATCGAAAAGATTCATAATCAATTTAACCCAACCCATCCCATCCCATCGCTACATAATTGTCACACTAATCATCATAAAACGAACTCGAACTGTTGATAGAAAAATATATACAATGTGTATGTAAATGGTTTAGAAATATGCTTAACTTAAACTTATATATTTACATCAGCAAGGTGTAGCTGACGACTCCATATGACTTATCACGGTGCGAGAACGTGACGACGAGACTGCCGTACTGACGATGCCGACGGCGTCATAGTAAGTCATATGCACTCACATGGCAACAGGCGCTCCACAAATCGTTTTTATAAGTCAACCAGACCACCCATTCAACAAGAAGTATCACGACGTATATTACATCCACACCGACGGCTGCTGACTGCCGGACGGCGGACAATGCCGCGCCGTGCTACGGAGCATGCGTCGCGGCGCGGGTTGCGGGGTGTCGGGGCAGTGCGCATCGTCGCCGCCGCGTCCTTCCCTCTGCTCTATACATAATGTTAGTCATGGGTACTCAAGTAATATTGATGAGCTGCTGATTAGCTCACAGTTCGCATGTGTGAAACTGATCAGTGAACTGATTCGCAGACCAGTTTAATTTGTAACCGGCATAGAGTTACGATTGGTATCGCATAGTTAGAGTACATCGCGTTGAGCCGTCCTGCCTATTTGGTATTTGACCAGTAGCTAAATGGTTCAAACCTTTTTTTGGTTATGTGAGCTGCACGTTTGAACGATATCAGAATGGCTATTAATTAACGGTTAAATGAGCTTGCCTTTTTCAAGTTCGTTTTAATATAAGACATAGGTAATGTAGATATTTGACTATCATTGCTTCCAGACCGATTTTAATAAAACTTTAAGTATGTAAGTATGTTCTAAGTGCGCCAGTGAAAGTTTGTGTTGTAAAAATGAATAAAATATTTGTAATTATTATTAATGCTATAATACTCTTAGATATATGAATTAATTAAAATTACATTATTCAATATGATTTTGATAACTAATATTTATATTTGAGGTTTTTTTTTATTTTTATTAATTGCAAGGTGTACCGTGCTGTTTGTCTAAATCAAACTGTCATTATCAGACAGGTGAAGAAAAATATCGTGATCCCGTTGGACTATTGGGTTATTTCTGGGGAAAGTGTCAAGCCCAAGCATGCGGGATGAAACGTCTTTATTAGGCTAGCCAGAGGAGAAGGAGGAGTAGAAGCGGGGCGGAAAGTCAGCGCGTGGCGAAGACGCACATGTGGTTTTGGAGAAGGGCGCGTATTGTTATAATTTCGTTGTGAATGCTCTTTGTGAAAGACGGTATGGAACAAAAAAGCTTTGTGCATTTCAACTAAAAATTCAAATGGAATGCTCTTTCTTATATATTTTATTGTGTCGCATCGACCTTGTTTTAAAGTTAGGCCACATATTCTTGAAAATAATTTTAATTTTGTTTCTCCCAAACATACCCTGAAGTCCGAGTAAGACTGCCTGCGCCACGTTTGCCGGATGTTCCTTGCTCTCCAATTTCGCTTTTTTATTGTAGTTATAAACTTTTTAGCGATCATTGCCGTTTGTGTTTATGCAATTCTGTGTGTTCGTCTTGCGTCTATCGGTCTCGTGACAATAAGACCAAGGAGCTGCCGCACGGCAGAGTCCGAGGTATTTCTTCGGGCGAGCGGATCATTCGTCCAGCAGCTGGTTCTATTGTGGACGAACACTATATCAAAGTAACTGTCTCCTTAAAGGGTGAACTTCTAAAGGCTCTATTTTAGTCTCCTACCCTTTTCTAAGATAAAAGAATGGACAGTTGTAGAAGTAGATTTGGCGGAAGAACGGATGAAATGGAAAGGGAAAAATCCTCCTTACGGTTGACCTTTATCCGTTGGAGAGAAGCAACTTTTTTGTCACTTATTATACTTACTTATGTAAGTTAGGAAAAGCATTAATAGACAATTTGATACACAAATTATTCTCACGTTAAAAAGCAACATTTTGATTTAAAAGCGAGTTCATAAAATAAGTATAATGTAGTATAAGCTATATTAAGTATAAATTTAAAAAAAAATGAAAACATTATAAAATAAGAAAACTAATAAAAATTAGTGAGCGGTATTTATATGGGTGTCAGAGCTCAGAATTTTTTACGAAAGGGATAAAATCTTCGAGTATTTTGTCGCCAAAGCGGTAGGAGGGCGGGCCCTTGTGCGGCGCCAGGCGGTGCTTGCGCAGCACCAGGAACAGCAGCAGGCTGTACTCGGCGGTGGCGCTGCGCACTGTCTGCATCATTGTCTCCAGCTGCTCCTGGCGCGCGTCCCAACTGCAGATGTTCTCTATGCATTCTTGTAGGTACTTGTTTAACTGAAATTAATAACATAGCTGAGACGTTACTGTGGAATGCTTCAGCTTGGAATTTAGCCAGTGGTACACGGACATTTTCAAGTTGTCGGTTACGATCGTTCGTACGCATCAAGCGGCCAGTAGGGGAACACCTGCGTTATTACATCTATTATAAAAAAATAGCGCGAAAGCGAAACGGTCCCTGAGATATCTAAGATATCTAAGAACAGAATATTATTGTTGATTGTTATACTGAACAAAGAATTAATTATAGTTGTATTATCACGCTTGTAAATTAAAACTGCCAAGAAAACTATGGTTATTATAAATATTTAGGCGATGCTCGCTTACGCTCTAAGAGCTGTGTGGCGGCGCGACAGAAGGAGTGCCTTCTTGTGACGAACGAATGCACAACGACTGCTTGGGATAGTCGGGGTGAAGGCGGTACTACTCTATTACTGTCGTAGACAATTGCTAAAGTCCTTGTACGTATTTCGCCATACTTGATATTAACATTAAGACAAACTAATAATGAGTCACCATCATTGCACTACTGCAAACTTTTAAATCTGAACATCATACCTTGAGGACGCGTCTTTCTAACAATTTCCTCTGTATCCAATCACAAATAAAAATTGCGAACACCAACAGGACAAATGTAATAGCAACAATGATATCGAATTTCGGATAGTCATCTAGATGTGCCCATGATACTGAATAGGCGGAGGGTGGTGCGGGTGCAGGTTCAGGAAGTCCCGAATGTAGATCGGGTATGTAGTATTGGACAGGGACTAGTAATAACGCCACCAGAACCGTCGCTGCCACACCATTAGTGTATCCACTTATCGGCATTAATCGCCTCTGCCACTACCATCCACAACCGGTACACTACACGGTTCACTCTTTCATCAGTTTCAATTTCAACAGCATCATATGATTATGACAAATTATGAAAATGTCGTTATTACTTCAAGTTAAAGCCGATGATTACGTTAGTATATAATATTTTTCCAAAATCGTTCGAGACTTTTGAAAAACTGTTGTCAAATAAAGTTGACACAAAGTTTCTATTCTTTGTGATTTTTCCCATTCAATTTTTAATTGACTATAACAATCTCCTAATGTCTGATTTTCTTTACCTAAAAAGCAGTTTTATTTTTTGTTTTACAAGCTTTTATAAAATCGGTTTTGGAGACCGATAAATTTATTTAAACCAGTGGGCAACAAGTCAACCTAAATTATGATAGCTCACTAGCGCCCCCGCATTGAAAAAATTGTTACAGGTCCCTGGTCCCTTATACTGCATAGACCGACTATACACTCCACACGATAGTCGCTAATTAGTTTGACAACTCACCACATATGGGTTGAGTAAAATGGATTAACAGTTTTTTCGATTTTAGATGGTTGTTCTCATAGAACTTGCAATCGAAAATTTCGTAATTATTGTTTTTGAATACAATATAATTTTTTTTCTTTCGTTTCCTACTTTATCCTTTATAACTACATAAAATAATAAAACATTAAACCAAAAATTGTGGTGATAACAAACAAAAAGAAATGTATGTTAATGTATTTAATGGTTTTTTTTAGTTAATTGTGCGATTCTTAGCCAAATAACTGTAATAAATTTATAAAATTAAAAAGTACTGAAATAATAGTACAAATTTGTACGATTAATTTTATTATAAGATCGAAATTCGATAGTTCTCAGTTATTCATCATGCGTGACGGTCGACACCAGGGGGTGGAAACCAAAGAGTATAATAAGTATACTATAGAAAGAGGGGCAACTCGCACGAAGTCGTGGATCCACGGCGATTGTGGCGCTCCATGCGTATAATCGCTAAACTAATTTTTTTTTTTGGTACCTATATACGTAGGCACGCTTATTTAGCTCACTATAATAATAACTAATAAGTGGGAATCTAATAAAGTTAAAACTGACATTAAATCAATGTTCAAAAATAATATACCCACTTATGTAGTTATTAATATAGTGAGCCGATATCAAGTAGCCTTCTATGAAATACCTCTATTAAAATGATCCTATTATTATTGGGGAAATAAA